TGTGTCTGGTGTTATGCCTGTGGGTTCTGTCACAACTATCAAGAAGCGTTTTAGGTCAAGGTTGATATAAGTTTAAGGCCCTGTAGATATAGATTGCACAGTAGTAAGTGTGGATGTACTGAACTGGGGTAAGTTTAGATCTTTGAAGGTGGGGGGTGTGCTGCCAGGGATGGGATTTAGTGATTATTCTTACTGCAGCTTTTTGTTGGGTTATTATTGGCTTTAGGTGTGTTGCTGCAGTTGATCCCCAAGCATAAATAGCATAGGTGAGGTATGGATAAATAGAGTGAGTGGTAGAGTGTGAGAAGGGCATTTTTGCGGCACGTAGTATCGTATCTTGGAGAGGATCCCAACCGTTTTGGATACTTTTTTGGCTATATGCTGGATATGGGTGCTGAAATTCAGGTTGTTGTCAAGGTATAAGCCTAGGAATTTGTCCCCATTATTTTCGGTAATTAGAGTGTTGTCAATCTTAATGTTAATTTGTGCATCTCCTGCTCTGCTACCAAACATAATATAGTAAGTTTTTGTCAGTGTTAAGCGTAAGTTTATTGGCTGTCATCCAAGTCGATATTTTAATCAGCTCCTCATTCACAGTGGTGTTGGGGTGGCAAGATTAGGGTGAGAGATGACATAAGTCGTGTTATCAGCAAAGAGAATGGGTTTCAGGTGTTGGGATACGTTTGGAAGGTCATTAAATGTATATGAGGAAGAGCAGGGGACCAAGGACATTTCCCCTGGGGAAAACTCCAGTATCAAGTGGCCGTGTTGCTGATGCTGTGTCTTTAATGGGGGACGTACTGATACCTATTAGTAATGTAAGATTTGAAATAAGCAAGCGCAGGGCCTTCTTATACCGTTGGGGTCAAGTTTGTGAATAGGATTCGTGGTTTACTGTGTCAAAAGCTTTTCTTAGGTCAATAAAATTCCTAGGGGAAATTTTCCCTTTATTTTCCAATGCTGTGAAAAGCAGATCTAGCATTTTTATAAATTGTTCATTAGTGCTTTTATTTTTTCCTGAATCCAAACTGGCAGGGGTTGAGTATGTTTTGAGCCGTTAAAATGAATAACAGTCTCTTGTACACGAGTTTCTCAAAGATTTTGGATGCAATGGTAAGTTAGATATTGGCCTATAGTTGTTTAAGTCTGTAGGGTCACCACCTTTATGATTGGTGTAACCCTTGCCATCTTGAGTAGTTTCGGGAAGGTGCTAGTCTCTATTGACTTGTTAAAAATAATGAAATAGCATGCGAAAGGACTGGGCCGCTCGCTTGTACAGAAATGGTGGGACATGAGACAGATTCCCCGAGTTATTTTTAAGTAAACTTTATGATCTCAATGACTTCCGTGGGCTCAGTTGGTGCAAGATAGAAGGAATTAGGGAAATTTCCATCTAGGTAGTCCCCGGCATGGGCTTTGGTATGTGGGATTTTACTGGCGAGATTAGACCCTATGTTTGAGAAAGTCGTTTATCTTGTTAGCTGTGTAGTGGGTTTGTAGTGGTGTTTCATTAGGTTTGTTAGGACAATATTTTTGGTTTTTCTCAGTTGTGGGTCCCTAGAATCTGAGAGAGTGTTTTCAGGTCTTTTTTTATATCTCCTCTAGTGTCTGTGAATCTACTGGAGTAGTATAGTTGTTTGGCTTTTTTTATTACTTTGGTGAGAGCTGATGAATAGTTTTTAAAGGAGTATCTTGGTGTATTAAGCCCTGTCTATATTGCTTTTCATATTGGTGTTTCTTGTCAATGGATTTCAGAATGGTGCTGGTTAGCCATGGGCAACCAAGCCGTTTGTTTGTGATCTGTTTTTTTTTTTTATAGGACAAAAGTTTGTTGTATAGTCTAAGTAATTTGTTAAGAAAGATGTCTGTCCAGTCATCAATACCATTGGCCTGGAGAATTCTGTAGGCCAATCAACAGTCTCTAGGTCAGCTGTGAACTTCCTTACTGAGGGCCTCGTCATGGAGTCTAAATGAGACTTTGTTGTATTCAAGTGGTGGTTTACTAATGTTTGTCAGGAGGAAGGTGGGTAGTGGTCTGTAGTGCTATCTGTGATTATCCCTGATTTAAGGGGGCTAGTATATTGGTCCATATGTGGTCTATTATGGTTGCACTTGTCTCAGTGAGCCCCGGTTGGTTTAGTTATTGTTGGTATGAGAAGTGTGTTGTTCATATTGTTGATGAAATCAGTTACAGGCTGATCATCTAGTAAGCCAAGGTTGATGTTGAAGTCTCCACTAAGAGAAGGTGGTGCTTATTCATTTGTCTGTTTGTTATTAGTGACTTTAATTTCTCACTGAAGTTTGGATGTTTGTGTGGGGTATCCGGTATATGGCACCCATTGTTATAGGCGTCTTGAGGTTTTTTTTACAGTAAAATTAGCAAAAATGTATTCCCCATATTCATCACTAAAGCAATTAGTGCTAATACAAGATAGTTGGTTAGAGTAATAGATTCAGTACCACCCCCAACTTGGTATGGTCTGCAGTTGTGGATTGCTGTGTATCCTGGTAGTGGGTAATATCAATTTGTCCTGCTTAAGCCAGGTCCAGTAAGAATAATGCAGGAGAAGGGGTTGTCATTAGTGATTCAAGGAGTTTCCAGGAGGTCATCTAATGTTTGCTTAAGGACCCGATGCTGTAGTTAAGAACTGATAGACTTTGAGCAGTGTTCAGGATAGTGCTGGCTTGTGATGCTGTGTAATAAAGGCAGTTACTTTCCAATAAGTTTTGATTGTGTGTTAGATTATGGAGGTTTAGATCAGGGTCAACGTGATCATTCATCTTTTAGGTTTAAATAGTGGTTGTTTATATCCTGCATTATGTGGTGAGTTCTAATACTGATTTCTGTAGTGGTGGAAGGTTTGGATAAGTATACCGCTAAAGCACTTTGGTCATATAGAGTATAGTCACTAATAAACATAATGAAATTGATATTGTCTATGTGTTGTGCTAGAATGAGCTAAAGTACAACTAGGTATAAACTAATAATATAAAAAAACAAATTACAAGTGGCACCAGACTCACTCTTGTAATTGAAACTAAGGTCTAATATATTGAATTTATTATTGTCTATGTATTGAGCTAGAATGAGCTAAAGTACAACTAGGTATAGTAAGTAAGTTTATTCAGGTATACACAAATACAGTTACATAGAATTATCATACATAGCAGCATATGTGAAAGAAGCCTGGGATAACACAAAAAAGTCAGAGCGACTTATTTCCATTGGGGTCCTTTTACCTTATTATTAAAATTTATAAAGGTTATAATATTTTCTTATTTTTCTATAATGGAGATAACATCTTATTATCATACTTAAAAGACTATCTACTACACGAGGGTCATTAAGACTATCTACAATACGAGGGTCATTACTAGGAATAAGGTAAAATTTACACGTATGTTAGCTAAAAAAATAGAAAATCATTCCCCTCCCTTTCTGTAGCTACATTCATCAGACACCTTTTGGCACTCTTCTTGAACTGGTTCATGCTATGACTGGCTTTGACATGTGCGGGTAGTCTGTTCCATTCCTTTATTGCTGTACAATAAAAGGTGTTTGACGCCTGGCCAATGACTGTGGGTACTACAAAGTTGTGCTCTCTCCCCCTAGTACTATGATTGCTTTGGTTCCCAACCTTGACAAAATTGACAGCAAGATATTCTGGACATTGTTTGTGAGCAATTTTATAAACATGATTTAGCTTCAGTTGTTTTACTGTCTTCAAGATTCAGCATATCCAACTGCTGTAATTCATCCTGGCCTACATGTTCTCTTGGTCCCAGCCCCAGGATGAATCTTACGATTTTGTTCTGGGTGATTGCAAGCGCAATCCATATGGCATTGTATAAGGGCTAGACATAGAGTCCTGCGAGCCTTAGTAGGTAGACACTGTGCTTGTCTATACAGGAACTTCAGTCTGGCATTCGCTTTCTTTCCTACACTGTTCCCTATCAACTCTCCTGACATGCATGGGTCAAAGGGGATTCCCAGATATTTTACTGATGAAACCAAAGTGATGGGCTCCCCATTACACTGGACATTAAAATTATTTACCCTTCTCAGTTTATGTTTCGTCCCAAAGAGAATGGCTTCAGGGGGAATTAGTACTTACTCAGCGCGAACGAAAAATTTTGTCGAAAAATTCACAAACTGAATTAATCTTATATAAAAATAGCTTAACTCTCTGGCAACACAATGGTACCAGAATCATTGTTCTGCGACATTCCTACAAGGAATTATGGTCATTTAAATCACCTAGGGTTACGTCACCACCCGCGGCAGGTGTGCTCACCTGTCGTCAATTTTTTTTTTCCGTTTTTTTTCGTGTATTTATTGTATTATTCTTTCTAAGATAATAATTGACGATTTGGCATTATAATACATTGGGCGGGATTTATACGTAGAGTTCCAACCAACCAGGAACCTCCCGACACCATTTTGCTGACGTCATGGAAAATTCCAGTCTCGGGGTGGCCGGGGAATATGGCTCAATATAACGCTATTATAGTTTTTACGGCTTATTTATCTATCACAATTGATCTAATATGACATAATAAACAATATAAATAACAAAGAAATATGGTAAATACTCCAGAATGAATAATATATGGCATATTCCCAGAGCGCTCCATCGGGAATAATAGATTCCCATTCCAGAGAGGGGCTTCCATTCTCTTTCTTTCACCTCCAGGGTCCTTATATTAAAGAAAACGAAAATGGGTAACTATGATATACACTCGTAATGCAGTATAAGACTGAGAAAAATGTTATTTTCTCGAAAAAAAAAAAAAAAAATCGGTGGTCCGGCTGTTTCGCGGATTATCTCGGAAGTAAGTTATTCACATATATGAGCAACTAAATTCGTTAATAATAGCAGGAATGTAATGAAATTCACAGAGAACATAAAGGAAAGATTGTTTTACAAGCTAATGATTTGCTTTTTGAGATATCATAATTTGTTTTTGATTTATGTGAGGGCAAAAGTCAGATATTTGGCTGAAAGTCAAAACCATACAAAATTTATTTTTTTTAAGAATGAAGAAAGGATAAATTACAGAACGGCTAACCATTAGAAATACAGTTTAGCATTGTTTTATGCGTAGATAATGCCAAAACAGCTTCTCCAAGTCCCATGTCGAAGTTTCTGTTCAATATGTATGATTATTAGTAAATAATTTTTTTCTCAGTTGTTTTTTGAGCTATCTTATTGAAACTTGGTCACATTACTATTGAAAGGTGCTTCTTTACGTACAAAAAAAATGAAAGAAATCGAACGAAAAATAAAAAAGTTCATGTGTGGACGTCAGCTTCCCCCTTCAGTTTTCCCTAGGTGTAATGATAGTTTGTTGTCTACTAACCATTTGCTGCAGGACTCCAGTTCCAGTGTTAAAACATTAGCAATATCTTGTGGGTCTTTACCTGACACTAACAGAGCACTGTCATCTGCATACAGTAGGAGTTTGTACTTGACACTGATAGGCATGTCATTGACATAACATAAGAATAGTAAGGGACCCAGAATACTACCTTGGGGAACTCCACATGCTATCGGCAGGGGTTCTGATTCCGTTTTGTTGATTTTGACAATTTGTCTCCTGTTGCTAAGGTAGGACTTAAACCAGTCTACAGAACCTATACCGATAGCTTGAAGTTTCTTGCATAATATATTGTGGTTGACAGTATCGAAGGCCTTTTGCAGGTCTAAGGTTACCATACCCATGAGGTTCCCCTTTGACATTTCAGTTCTCAGGTAATCCATCAGATTAATTAGGGAGGTGTCGGTTGAGTAAGATCTAAAGCCCGATTGATAGCTATGGAGAATGTTGTTGTCATTAAGGTACTTAACTACTTGAGAGTACACCGCCCGCTCTAGAATTTTGGATATTATACTGAGTATACTAACAGGCCTATAGTTGCTTACATCAGACCTACTATTTTTCTTGAAGATAGGAGTAACTCTGGCCTCCTTGAACCCATCCGGTACGGTATTAGTGGTGATTGAAAGATTTATTATGTGAGCAATAGGGATTGACAATTCAGAGGCACCATCTTTTAGGAACTTAGACGGGATGTTATCCAGGCCAGTTCTCTTAGTTGGGTTTAACCTGCTTAGTTCTTTTTGAATAAAGTCATGAGATACACTTACTAGTTGACAACTGTTTGGGGTTACCCCTTTATTGGTATAGTATGTTTGAAACTTATCAGAGTCTGTGTTAAAGGTATTTGATGCAGCTGGTAGTTTACTTACTAGTGTTGATGCAACAGATGTGTAGTAGGAATTAAAGCAATTTGCCATCTTAGATGTTTCGTGGCGTACCTCGTTATCGACAGTGAGTACTATGTTAGACCTATCTACATGCTCGTGTCAGAAGCCAGACATAGGTATGGTAAGATTGTGGACAGTGAAGTCAGAGTACACATGCTGTTGATTCCATCTCACATTGGTCTTCAGATGCATGATAGAACTGATAACTTGGCTAAGTTATATAACTTTCAAAGAGGGAGTAGATTACGATCTTGGGTTGTCAGTTAGCAGTTTGAGAACAATAATATGAAAAAAACTTCAATTGAACTTTTTTGACTTAAGACTTAGGGAGATTGACACAAGTCAGTCCATCTATCATCATTCCATCATGCAGGAGGAGCCACATGTCTATCATGCAGGAGGAGCAACATGTCTATGGTGCATCCAACAAGATAAGCAGACTCTTGGATGTCACTACTGCCCGGCTCCGGCTGGGTTACAAGTATCTTTGGCAGGTTACATCACCACCACCAGATGTAGACCAAACGAAATGTAAACTTTGCCAGATGGACTATTGTCACACCCTGCCTCATTATGTACTGGAGTGCGATCAAATTAATGAATTCAGAGACAACTCACTCAGAAATGTTCAAGAAATGGCACAGTGGTATACTACAGACCATTCTGGAGAAATACCCTGACTTTGCTAACTGTAAATAAAGCATTACCACGTGTGTGTGTGTGTGTGTGTGTGTGTGTGTTTGCATGTGCATTTATGTACTCATATATGAGTGCTTGTACTCGTGTGTGTGTGTGTACTCACCTATTTGTGTGTGTGTGTGTGTGTGTGTGTGTGTGTGTGTGTGTATGAGTGTATATATATGTGTGTGTGTGTGTGTGTGTACTCACCTAGTTGAGGTTGCGGGGGTCGAGTCCGAGCTCCTGGCCCCGAGTCCGAGCTCCTGTGTGTGTGTGTGTGTGGTGTGTGTGTGTGTGTGTGTGTGTACTCACCTATTTGTACTCACCTATTTGTGGTTGCAGGGGTCGAGTCACAGCTCCTGGCCCCGCCTCTTCGCTGATTGCTACTAGGTCCTCTCTCTCCCTGCTCCATGAGCTCTATCATACCTCGCCTTAAAACTATGTATGGTTCCCGCCTCCACTACGTCACTTTCTAGGCTATTCCACGGCCTGACTACTCCATGACTGAAGAAATACTTCCTAACATCCCTTTGATTCATCTGAGTCTTCAACTTCCAATTGTGACCTCTTGTGTCTGTGTCCCTTCTCTGGAACATCCCGTCTTTGTCCACTTGTCAATTCCGCGCAGTATTTTATATGTCGTTATCATGTCTCCCCTGACCCTCCTGTCCTCCAGTGTCGTCAGGCCGATTTCCCTCAACCTTTCTTCGTAGGACAATCCCCGTAGCTCTGGGACTAGTCTTGTTGCAAACCTTTGCACTTTCTCTAATTTCTTGACGTGCTTGACTAGGTGTGGATTCCAAACTGGTGCTGCATACTCCAGTATGGGCCTGACATAAATGGTATACAGAGTCTTAAACGAATCCTTACTGAGGTATCGGAACGCTATCCGTAGGTTTGCCAGGCGCCCGTATGCTGCAGCAGTTATCTGATTGATGTGCGCCTCAGGAGATATGCTCGGTGTTATACTCACCCCCAGGTCTTTTTCCTTGAGTGAGGTTTGCAGTCTTTGGCCATCTAAACTATATTGTGTCTGCGGTCTTCTTTGCCCTTCCCCAATCTTCATGACTTTGCATTTGGCAGGGTTAAATTCAAGGAGCCAGTTGCTGGACCAGGCTTGTAGCCTGTCCAGGTCTCTTTGTAGTCCTGCCTGATCCTCATCCGATTTGATTCTTCTCATTAACTTCGCATCATCTGCAAACAAGGACACTTCTGAGTCTATCCCTTCAGTTATGTCGTTCACATATACCAAGAACAGCACAGGTCCTAGGACTGACCCCTGTGGAACCCCGCTTGTCACAGGCGCCCACTCTGACACCTCGTCGCGTACCATGACTCGTTGTTGCCTCCCTGACAGGTATTCTCTGATCCATTGCAGTGCCTTTCCTGTTATGTGTGCCTGATCCTCTAGCTTTTGCAGTAACCTCTTGTGAGGAACTGTGTCGAAGGCCTTCTTGCAGTCCAAAAATATGCAGTCGATCCACCCCTCTCTCTCTTGTCTTACTTCTGTCACCTTGTCATAAAACTCTAGTAGGTTTGTGACACAGGATTTTCCTTCCCTGAAACCGTGCTGGTTGTCAATTATACACTTGTTTCTTTCCAGGTGCCCCACCACTCTCCTCCTGATGATCTTCTCCATGACCTTGCATACTATACACGTTAGTGATACAGGTCTGTAGTTTAGTGCCTCATGTCTGTCTCCCTTTTTAAAAATTGGGACTACATTTGCCATTTTCCATACCTCAGGGAGTTGCCCAGTTTCAAGTGATGTGTTGAAGATCTTTGTTAATGGCTCACACAATATCTCTGCTCCCTCTTTAAGGACCCATGGAGAGATGTCTGGTCCACCGCCTTTGAGGTGTCAAGTTCGCATAGCAGCTTCTTCACCTCCTCCTTGGTTATATGTACCTCATCCAGCACTTGCGGGTGTGCCCCCCTGTTCTGATTTCCTGGAGTCCTACTGGGTTCTACTGTAAATACCTCTTTAAATCTTGTGTTGAGCTCCTGACATACCTCTTGGTCGTTTCTTGTGAATTCCCCATCACCCTTCCTCAGTCTGATTACCTGGTCCTTGACTGTTGTTTTCCTCCTGATGTGGCTGTACAACAGCTTCGGGTCAGTGTGTGTGTGTGTTTGTGTTTGTTTGTGTGTGTGTGTGTGGTGTGTGTGTGTGTGTGTGTGTGTGTGTGTGTGTGTGTGTGTGTGTGTGTGTGTGTATGTGTGTGTGTGTGTGTATGTGACCCAACAATTAATATTTGCACCAATAACTCATTACAGTTGTGACCGGGTGTGGACGTGTGAATTGCTCATTACTCTATAATTTGTTTATAATTGTAGCCATATACAAACGTAAGTAAATTTACTTACAGGATTCATTACCTTTATACCTAGTTCAGCTATCAAAACTTTGGGGCCCAGTCCCTGGACCCATTATATATCTCTATAATCTTTCGACTACCGCCCACAGGATGGGTATGGGGTGCATAATAAACATTAAACTAACCCGGGGAGGCCTCCCCATCCATACGACGCCACTGCGACTGTGGCTGATGACACTTTTACCATAGTGAGTAGAGGGACACTTAATCTGCCTGGTTTTGCACATGTACATTAGTTTGAGGTTCTGGATTAGTTTGAATATCGCCACATAAGAGTGCCACAAAAAGAGCTGTGCGTCACTGTTTTGTTTTTATGGGTATGCGGTGTTGCCATGCCTTGCCGCGATAGTGATATTTATGTTTCTGATATAATGGCTACTCCAGTCGCCTTTTCCAGTCCCCATGACTGTTTTTTTTCTTCGGCGAATTTCAGAAGATATATAAATATAATTATGGCAGCCTGTACCCCTCTGATGCCTACCATCTTCACTCTTCATACCCTTATCCCTTCACAACAAAAATGTTTCTTCCTTAGTTTTTCAAGAATCACTATCGCTATCAGTAACCTAGAGGCCACTAAAGCGGTCCCCATTGATTGCTAGTAGACTTCCTGCCCTTACTTCACTAATCCACCTCACCCCTCACTTCACAGTCCCTCTTCTCCCTTCACACTTCTAACCCATTTCCATCCTGGCAGGATAAAAAGTTCTTGTCCAAGGGTTGGCGTAGCAGGGTTGGCGTCCTCTTGTTGACTGGTCCCGACATGTTATCAGACATGTTTAAATGTTCACTTCCTTCCTGCATTTGGCACCGAGGGAAAAAACCGTCACTACAGACCTTTCAGTTTCCTTGGAGGTTTGTTGTTAGATTTTCACCTATGTTGCCTTCCCATTGAACACTGGTGCATTTGGTATGGTAATCTATGTAACTGTATTTGTGTATACATGTATACAGTGTATACAGTGGTGAGAGGCGTGACTCTCACCACTGGGGTCCTGGGTTCGAATCCCAGATGAACTACTAGAAAAAAAATATAGAAACTGTAATCCAGTGGTGAGAGGCGCGACTCTCACCGCTGGCGTTCGGGGTACGAGAACCAGACGAACTACCTGAAAAAAAAGTGTAGTGCAGTAGTAAGTGCCAGGATTCTCACCACCGTTCCCGGTGTAGAGACACGCACAAAACTGCTGAAAAAAATATCGAAACTGTAGGCCAGTGATGAGAGGAGCGACTCTCACCACTGGTGTCCTTGGGAACGAGATGTAGGTAGAATAACTCGTGGCCTGGTAGGTAAAGCTCTCGCTTCACACACTGAGAGTCCGGGTACGATTCCCGGCAAGGGTGGAAACACTGAGTGTGTTTCCTTACACCTGTTGTCCATGTTAACCCATCAGTAAAATGGGTACCTGAGTGTTAGTCGACAAGTGTGGGTCGCATCCTGGAACAAAATTTGACCTAATTTGCCCGAAATGCTCTGCATAACAAAGGGCTTTTTATACAGAAGTATATCACTGATGTCAGCTATGATCTGTATACCTTGTACATGTACTTATAGAAATTAAAATATTATAATTATTATTATTATAGGCAGCGAGTGCCAGGCTCTCAAGTCGAGAACTCTTGTCTAATGTCTAAAACGACCACTGCAATAGCTTCTATACATACAAAAATCAAGCTGTCCACACTCTCCTACATAGTGACTATGGTCAGCATGGTGACTCTAGGCAACTGAAACTCTGGCTTTAATATTCCCTGTTCAAAACCCCCATGTTAATAGGGGCTGATGCATACGGAAGAGTCTGAAGCCTTTTTAAAGCATTCTGGTTTCGGACTATGTACCTTTGTCTCAACCAAAAAGTAATCAAGCCTGTATAATCCTTGGTTGATATTGTATTGGGAATGTTTATCATGTTTTATAATTGCTGACTCAATAATATTGTTGGTTTATTAGGAACAGTGACCTGGGCTTCAAGTAATTTTTGTGGAATGGTTGCACTCTATAATATTGTTAATGTTTGAGTCCTGTGCTGTTCAAATAGCTAGAATTTCATTACTGAGTAGTACCAACAGGTTTCTTCGTGGTGGTGTCTCTTTAGGTTCTATTGTAAATTTTCTTAGACACCAACAATGCCTTCACAACAAGATCCTTGCTGAATAGTAGGTTGGATGTGAAGTTATTATATTAACTATGGGTTCTCGTGTCTTAAGAGTATTTGCCACGGAAGATTCAAGACCTACAGACGTGGTCTCAGGTGAGCTACAGCACTGTAAATGGCTGGGGCGCTGAAGGTGTTGTTGCTGGTGGGAATGATCTCATCACTTGTGAGGGAGAAGGTGAAGTTTTGGAAGAGGCTGGCGAGGAAAACAAAGATCTGCATGCGAGCCAGAGACTCCCCGACACACACTCGTTTTCCTGTGGGAATATATTAGATGTTAACGTCTTGACCTAGGATTGATCAAGGGTCGAGTGGAAACTTTGACCAAGTTTCCTTACATCTACTGCCCTTGTTACACCTACCAGTGAATAGGTACTTGGGTGTTAGTAGACTGTTACGAATCGCATCCTGATGGGTAAGATAACAATTCGTAGACTGTAATATTCAAATTATATATATTATATATATATATATATATATATATTATTATATATATATATATATATTATATATATATAAAATTATATATATATATATATAATATATATATATATATATATGTCGGGCTCGAACAGGTAAAACTTCTAGATAAATACTTACTCATAGGCACCAGGGGCAGCAGTGTTTTCTTAAGAAGAGGTGAGTTTGTTACACTGATTTACTCATTTTAGGCTAAAATATCACACAACATACCTGTTCCAAAGGGAATGAAGCCTTCATTATTTACGAATCTGCCGTCAGTGTCGAGAAAGTTTTCTGGGTCAAACTCCTGTGGGTTCTTCCATAACTTAGGGTCTGTCATGGCGTCCTCCGCGTTGGCCACTATCACCGTCCTGTACGAAAGACAAGCTCTTACGTGATGAAATTTAGAGACAAATATTCAGAACATCAAAGACAGTAAACAATGTATTAAAGTCACATTGGCTGAGCGGCTACATTAAAACTTTTCTCTGGAGCTTCTTCCCTGCGGGATAATATAAAAACATAAGAATGAAGAAACACTGCAGTGGGAGTATTAGCCCATACTAGGCAGATGCTTCTTAAACCCCAAAACCAAACATTCGCCCGACCCATTTTCAGTGCTACCCAAGGAACAAGCTTTGGCAACCCTATCAACTAATACACAAGTCCCACTCAAATCCAACCTCCTCCACTCGTGTATTTATCTAACCTAAATTTGAAGCTACAATGACCCTACTAGAATTTTTTTTTTCACTGATCGACTAGCAGAGAATTACAGACCAATAGCGCTAACGTCCCATATCATAAAAATCTTTGAAAGGGTTTTAAGAAGTAAGATCGCTACCCATCTAGATACCCATCAGTTACACAACCCAGGGTAACATAGGTTTACTGTAGGCCACTCCTGTCTGTCCTAACTACTGGATCACTATGACAAGGTCTTGGATGCCCTAGAGGACAAACAAAATGCAAAAATGCAAAATGCAAAATGTGCACAAAATTCGTGATAAAGGAATAACGAGAAAATAGAACAAATAGAACACAAAGAGTAATAGTAAACAGAGTAAAGTCTGAGGCGGCCACAGTGAAAAGGGTCTGTTCTACAAGGCACAGTACTCGCTCCCATCCTGTTCCTCATCCTCATATCTGACATAGACAGAGATATAAGCCACAGCACTGTGTCTTCCTTTGCAGATGACGCCCAAGTTTGCATGACAGTGTCCTCCGTCGAAGACACTGCATGACTTCCAGCGGATATCAACCAAATCTTTAAATAGGCCGCAGGAAAACAATATGAAGCTCAATAAAGAGAGATTTCAATGATTCCATATGGAAAATGGAAATTAAAAAAGTATCGGGGTATGAAATAAATTCCAACCACACAATAAGCGAAAATTAATGTGAAGGATCTAGGGGTGATAATGTCAGGGATTCACTCTCAAAGA